CCCTGAGTCCAAGACCTTCCCCTTAAGCCTGGTATGAGTTGCTGAAGTTATCTAGCTTTTGGAGAACAGGCATGGGATGGAACGGGGAAAATCAATGCAGGGGCATGTGTAAGGGAGTTAAGGAGTAACCAACTGCTTGCTCTCTGGCTGCAGCCATGTAAAAATCTGTTTGCACAAGGGTAGGCCGGGTGTAGCAGGTAAAATGCAAACAGTCACATGAAAGTGGTGATAGGTAGATTTTTCTTTAAAGAATTTCCCTATCACTTCTCGGCCTTTTAGCTAAGATTTAGTGAAGAATTTCTCTAACCTGGAGTCCAGTAATAGGAAGATTTCACTGAAAGCATCTGCAATGCAGGAGAATTGCTTGAGCCCAGGAGTTGGAGGTTGCTGTGAGCTATGATGCCACAGCACTCTACCCAGGGCGACAGCTTGAGGCTCTGTCTCCAAATAAGAAAAAGTGCAATTCAGTGATTTTTTAATAGACTTATAGAGCTGTGCAACTGTCACCACAATCCAGTTTTAGATACTTCCAAAATCTCCCATGTGAGGCAGAGGAACATTTGAGCCCAAGCAGTTGGGCTGTAGAGACCACGCTCTTGGCCAGCTTGCTGAATTAACTCTGTGGAAGAAGGTGGCCCAAGAATGGCTTTGATTTGAGGGTGTCTTCCTGGGAAACACTACCCACCCCCATCTCATACACTTCTTCCCCAAAGGGAAGCACTCAGGCAAACCTCCCAGGCAATTCCTCCACATTTTGCCTGGGTTGAGCAGGCTGCTAGTGGGGAGCAGTCTCTCCAAGGAGAAAAGAGGGGTATGGTGCCCTCTCACCTCTCACTGCTGCCTTCAGCAGCCTGGGCAATGCTGGAGCCCAGGGGACAGTTCCTCCCAGTCCCCAGGGTAGGGCTGGGCCTCCAGCTGACTCAGCCTGGCTGTCCCTGCACATGGAGGGGTGGAAAACAGCATGCACCAGGAGGGATGGTTCCCCAGTGTTTCCGGGGTGTTCCCTGGGTGTGGCAGAGGTGCTCCTCCCTGCTGTGCTTAGGGCTGGGGAGGGGAGGGACAGGATTTAGGATTCTGTAATGGGATGGAAGTGCCAGGCCTGCTTTGGAGTCCTGTCTCTGCCAATAATGTGGGGCTAGCCACTCTCTGGATTTAATTTTTTTCTTCTGTTAAATGGGAACAGCAGCCAGACTGCCTATAAGGTTACTGCCTAAAGTGGTATATATGGCAGTGCTTTGGAAAGCATTAAAAAGAAAAGCTCTAAAACAGTGGTTCTCAACCTGTGGGTCACAACCCCTTTATAACAATGAAAATACATCACGGCATTAGGAAAGTTGAGAACCACTGCTCTAAAGCAAGGACTGGCAAGCTATGGG